TTGCAGCAATAATTGTACAATTAGAGGAGTGTGAGGAATGGGGGCCGGAAGAGTGAGGAAGGGGGTCCGGAAGTTCATGAAATATTGCAGGCTTTTTTGTGAGGGGGGGGGGATAGTTTGTACAGGGTTACCCACAAAGGATGAGACTTTAATGACAACATAAAACTGATTAACTATAATTGAACTTTAAACTGCAATAAAGCCTTTAACCAATCTGTTAAATGGTTTGCAAAGAAAAAAAAACTTCTAGTTATAGGCATACAAGAATATACAGAAATTCCGGACATGGTACAGACGTGCGGATTTTATGCAGTAGATCAAACATAGAATGTAATTTACAGAATTAAACTCTAATCAATTAACCCGATTATATCTTCCACATTTTTGATCGAATAAAATTTTAAATTCAAATTCAATTTCTTTTCTTTGGATTTATTTGGGGGTCAGAGATTATGAAAGAACACAATTTTATAAACTTATTTTCCTTTTAAAAAATAGATTTATTAGTACAGTAATGAAAGGAAGTTTGCTTGAAATTACTTGATTATTCATAGACAATTATTTTTGACAAAATAATGCCATGCAAGGTCAAATAAAATATTTTAAAATTAAATTTCGTACAAATTAAATTATTATATCCTTCAATGTGATATTTTTATCCGAAAGATTATTGAACTATTTCAAAACTAATAAAAATCAAACCCGATTTTCAAATTTAGGATCAAATTTGGTCTGCCTCCTCCTTTATTTCAGAATTAAAATTTAAATTTAACGATAACACATCGTCGCAGGGTTGTAAAAGAAATTTGTCCGGAGGACGGGAGTGTTTATTTATTCTTTCTAGGAGGAGGGAGGCGAAGCCAAAAAACATGCATAGAAACCATAGATTTAATTAATTAGGGGGCTGTGCACCCATAGCCCCTCCTGAGTACGCCTCTAGTCGTCGATCAATCATTTCGTATTGCTTCTGAAATATTCGATATTATATTATATATCTTTATATAAATATTCTGGTATAGATACAGAAACCACTATTATGTATATTCCATAGTGTACATCATTAATATACATTACTATACATGCATTCAATAATACAGAGGAATATATGTAATATACCTTCTTCTACATTTTGGAATGTTTTAATTTAAAAATATTTTTCTTTAAAAGTTTCTACACTCTAAATATAGCTTATATGTTTATAAGTTGTTCCCAAAAATTATATTGCCTTATTGTCCTTACTACATACAGTATGTCCTAAGTGTCCTTAGTTTGTCCTTATTTTTAAAGTATGTCCTAAGTGTGTCCTCATTATTTGAGTATGCCCTAAGTGTGTCCTCATTATTTGAGTATGCCTAAGTGTGTCCTCATTAAAGGAGTATGTCCTAGGTGTGTTCTCATTATTAGAATATGTCCTAAGTTTCCTAAGTGTGTTCTCATTATTAGAGTATGTACTAAGTGTCATAAGTGTGTTCTCATTATTATATTACGTTCTAAGTGTCCTAAGTGTGTTCTCATTATTAGAGTATGTACTAAGTGTCATAAGTGTGTTATCATTATTAGATTATGTTCTAAGTGTCCTAAGTGTGTTCTCATTATTAGAGTAAGTCCTAAGTGTCCTAAGTGTGTTCTCATTATTAGAGTATGTCCTAAGTGTCCTAAGTGTGTTCTCATTATTATATTACGTCCTAAGTGTCCTAAGTGTGTCCTTTTTTAGGATATAGATAAATATTTTCTGTGTTTGCAGAATATGATTGANCTTCACACACTAATATCAATATTAAATGGTCCCACTAAAGGCACTGGTTGACAATGACGGATGAGATATTCTAAAAATATTTTTCTATTTTTGGAAAATATCTTTTTTCGAACTTTTAGTTGGAGAAAGTGGAGAAATAAGTTTTAACAACCTGCACCAGATTTATAGAAAGGATATATTTGGATATTTATAAAGAAAAACATCTTGTGGTGGCAGAGTATATATTAATTATAGACAGAATAACATGAATAAAAAAACTTTATTTTCAGTAAAAACTAAAGTTTATTTTCTCTCTCTTTCACCAATCTTTCATTTGTTAAAATGTTTGGTTATATATCAATAAAAGGTCGGGTTGGAATTTTTCTCATTGCTATAAATTTATTTAGCCCTCAACATAAACATGACATGACACGGTCAAAATTAAAGCTTATTTGTAGTTATAGTATTTTGCAAAATAATGATTTTGTATGAGAGCCTGGACATCTTGAAAAAATATCAAAATATCAAATGCCAAAAGATCAATTGCCTAATTATGGAGTGCAAATCAGAGAAAAATCATAACAACGGATCGTACTGCATTGTTCGTCTCAAAACCGGTTAAACGTCAACAACAAAGAGAAAACAAAGAGGAGACTCTAAGAGATAAGGGAAGAGAAAAAAAGAGATACGAGAACAGAAGAGTAGAGAAGAGAAGAAAAGATAGGAAAAAAGATAAGAAAAAACAGAAGAAAAAAGAGAAGAAATAATAAAAGAAAAAAAGAAGAAAAGAGAAGAGAAGAAAAAAGAAATGAAGAAAGGAGAAGAAAAGAAAATAGAAGAGAAGAGAAAGAAGAAAAAATAAAGAGAGAGCTTGTATTTTAAAGACGTTTTATCATAAAAAGATGTTTAAGAATACCTTAAAATAATAAAATTAACTTTATTGTAAAATTGAATGATAATTTAAAAAAAAATAGTTGTCCTAACTGTTCAGGGTAAAATTTTTTGATCATTTAAAGATTTTTGATCATTTGGCATTTGATATTCTGATATTTTTGCGACATTTTGATTCACTGATGAGGATTTAAGTGCAATTTCTTTCTGAATATTTTATGTGGAATATCCATCATATTTCTAAATAAACTATTTATAACATTAGTTTTTGGTTAACAGTTTTTTGACAGAAATGTTCTCTGTAATGAGAAGGTTCACGCTCAGGACAAAATAAAATCTAAAAATGCAAGAATTTTCGAGATAAGAGAAAATCATAGTCCAAAAACGTCGTGCCAAAATAATAGTGTTGTAGTTAATTTTATTTAACATTGTATTTGTCTTATTGCAATGGATATTTCTAAATAGAATAAGCTTTTTAACAAAGCAGTAATACAAATATAAAGTCAATTTAAATTTTATTTTTATAAATAGAATAAGCTTTTTAACAAAGCAGTAATACAAATATAAAGTCAATTTAAATTTTATTTTTACATAAGTTTTAGAAATATTTGGAAATATCCTACCTTTTTTTAAAAATTCCGGGAACCAATCAAAACAAGCACAAATTATTACCATATAACACAGTGTTATCGTAAACATCTAATTTAACTTTATAGCACAATGATGAATTTAAAACACGGTGTTATCATATACAGCTAAATTAACTTATGAAGTTAGTAAGAATGATAAATTATACAATAGTTTCAAAAACATTTTGTATTAAAAAAATGTTTAGATTCTTGATGGAATATTTTTCTAATATTATTCTATTATTTTGGCAGAAGAGGAGAATATTTTGTCTAAATCTGTCATTTACAGAGACTAGGATATCCTGAATAGTTTAAAGATTCACAGTTATTCAAGGGACTGTTTTCTATTATGCAATAGTTGAGGACATTTACATGTAGATAGTCCAGGACAGCGTGGGCGTAATGGGCGTAACGGTTGATGTGAACTTTCCTCAAAAAACCATATAAAAAAATTACTAATTATACCATTATAAAATCTATAAGTAAAAAAGCAACAAACTTTAAAAAAAAATATTTTATTTTTTTGAATATATCATATATCATTAATTATATCAATATCAATCATATTATGACTAGGTTACACTGAAGACAGTATTATTTTAAGTTTAATAAAAATCTCTGCGTCAAACATCTTGCTCAGAGAGACAGAAATGGATTTTATATGAAACCCCGCAAACAAAATATTTTAATTATTTTTGTAAAATTTTGAAATTGCACGAAAAAAATTTTATGAAATCCTCAATTTATTTTTATTTTTTTTTAGACTGCACAAAGAGAAGTTGGTCACAGATAAATGAATTCGAATGTGGGTGCAAAGCGCCCTGAAAGCCTAGTCTACATATACATTTAGCTTGTCTGGGTGGGTGTTTGTTTGTTTGTATCCAATAAAAGTCTAAACGGCTGAACCGATCAGGCCCAAATTTTGTGTGGGGCCTCACGCGGCCCCAGGGAAGGTTTATGGCCAATCAGACTTTACATATGTAATCTTAAAATATTTTTATCTTAAATTATTCAATTTTGTAAAATTTTGAAAATGCGCGAAAAAATATTATGAAATCCGCAAACTTTAAAAAAGATTTTTATACTGATACCCTTAATAAATAACAAACATGATTGTCAGGTTTTCAAGTTTAAAGGGACTGTAAGCGGAATTTCAAGTGATCCTACATGCAAATATGGCAATCCCAAATTTGTAACGTTACCTATGATCATGTCTGATCAAGTATGAATTAGATATCCTTGGTTATTTTCAATTTCATGGCTTCTCTTCAAAAGTGACTTGCCCATTTCTTACTGAAGCATCAATAGAGAATTCAACACTTTATCGAGTCAGAAAAACAACAATAACTTCCATATTTTATCTGATTCAAGGGTATCGTTGGAAATCGGGCATTGCCATCTTTGAACGTCACTTGAAATTACGGTTACAGTCCCTTTAAGTTCAGTTTTAGCTGTTTAAGAAAAATGCAGGAATGAAGGTTAGGGGATAGGGCACAGTTATCCAAAGGTTGCCAGCTCTTACGCTAAAATAAATAAAAGTGTTCCAAACTACTTCTTTCAACTCAAGTTAAAAATGACAATAAAAAAATAGATGCCAGATTCACAACGGTACCCTGTAACCTTTATAATTTTACAATTAATATTATAAAATTAATTTAATGTTTTTCTTCCTAATGCTCTTCCTCTGTCAATAATTTAGTCAATTTTTTTTTTGAATACTAAATACCAATAGAAAAGAAAAATGATTAAAAAATTATCCTCTTTATTGACAAATTATGCCTTACATTCTAGATAAATAATAAATAAATAGATAAATAAATTAATGAATAAATAAATACACAAATAAATAATTGTTGGATTCACATCTTCGTTGGTCAGTTTACATATATAGACGCCACTAAAATACATAATTTAAAATACATAAATGAAAAGTTTTACTATTTATAAATTCAAATTTTTACTACAGTGATAACCAGAAAACGCTGAAATAGGAAGACGACTTTTAGAATAAAATATGACAATAAAAAGTGCAATGAGCATGAGAAACAACAAATGTGCAGTGTAAACAGATCCATTTCACTAATTTAGTAAATTTAATAAGTGTTTCGAAAAACTATTTGCCTTGTAACAACATCAAAAATGCTTAAATCTTTTTTTAAACTCGTTTTCTTATTTCATTGCTATCTGGTTCTCACAGTATTTTTCTTTGCAACCTGATAACTATGACCTCAATCATGACCTCAACATCAATCTTGACCCAAATTTTCACCATGACTAGCGACCATACTCTTAAGGCTTAATCTTAGTCCATTCTGGGTAAACATCTTTACCTGTTCTCTATGGCACATTGGCTAAAAACCTCTTCAAATATAACTCTTCTAAACTCTCCCAACCTCTATATTAACTCTAAACAGAAAATAAACAGTAAAATTGTCTCAAAACGACTGAACCAAATTGAAAATCTTGACGTTATCTTGAACTGCCTAAAATTCTCATTAATAATTGTACGATTAAAAAAATGTCTGTAGAAGAAAAAAATAGGTTATTACTTGCTGTAAAAGAGGTTTATTTGCTTTGGCCCGGTGGCGCGTTAAAAAATCGCCCAGGTTACTGAAATTCGGTTTTTAACATTTATTTTATTAGATTCTTTTATATATCATGATATTACATAGTTTAAAATATATATCTATACTAGCCTTAGAGGGCGCTTCGCGCCCATCTTCTAAATTAATTGTGAACATGTTCTCTTTGTGTACATCGTAAAACAAAACAAAAATAATTCGCGGATTTTCACAAAAAATTCGTGGATTTTCAAAATTTTAAAAAATTTAATGAAGATCGAATTTTGATGGAGACAAATATTTAAAATTTTGATCATTCATAAACCTTCCCTGGGGTCCCTAGATGTCCCACAAAAAATTTGGGCCCGATCGGTTCAGCCGTTTTGACGTTTATTGGATACAAACAGACAGACAAACAAACAAACAAACAGACAGACAAGCCAAATTTATATGTAGATTTGTATCATTAAAGAGAAATCTAATTAATATTTTCATCTTTTAGTATCGTTACATTTATCCTTTCATGATTTTATATTGAGAAAAAAATGTCCAAATTATTAGCAAGCACCACGCTACCCGGGCGAAATATTACCCCGGGAGCTTTTTAACATCACACCGGGCCTGAAGTTCAGGAATGTACACTGTACTACTCTACTGATACAGGTGTTACAGGAAATAATGTAAGCTGTGCTTAAATAAAAACCTGTTTCTGTGGAACTTAGGTTTCGGATACTCCACCGGGTTTCTAGGTTTCAGATGGTGCCGGGGTCCGTGGATATTGTTGTACGAGTCATCCATTGGCTAAAAAAGAAATAAAACCGGTTTATATCAAGACCATTAGTCGGTTTATATCAGAGTTTATAAAGTTTAAAATCGCGCGTCAAATCAAAGTAAAAACTGATTACTTACCACAAACTCAGATTTCCTATATCTTTGCCTATGATATTTCAAACAATGATCAACTAATCATAATTAGAAGGTAAAGTCAGGTTTCAAAGATATAAGGGTTAGAAAATTGCGCTAATCTAATTTAGTAGTTTTTACAAATTTAAAATTGTTTATTTTGTAAACTATTTTCTTACACTGGGTCTAATTTTTCCCCAATGATATAAACTTCGGAGAAAAAAAACTCAGCAGAGGTTGAGATCTGGTTCAGACTCTACGGCGTAGTTGGTTGAGATCTGGTTCAGACTCTACGACGTAGTTCAGAATATTAATTGAAAATTCATTCAACGTCTGCAATTATAATCTATGTTGTGTGCTACAAAATTTGAAATTCTATAAGCGACCGGTTGAAACACAAAAGTTATATAATACAATATTTGTGGTATCATTGGTTGAGCATTAAAAATTTATTTTTTATTCTAATTTACTAAGAGTCTAAGCTGTGTCTCAATTCTCAACCGCTCGTTCAACCGCTCGTTCAACCACTCGTTCAACAGCTCGTTCAACAGCTCGTTTAACCGGTACCGCTGGTTTTTCTCTCCAAAGAGTAAACCAATGATTTTGCCCATTGAGAAAGTATGTGTACTCACCATTCCTGTTCCTAGGCCCATAAAAAGATTTTGAAAATACCTCCAGGGTGATTTACACATAGCCTGTAGATTTTCAATCTTAGGAATTATTTTCATACAGTGAAACCTATAAATCTGTAAAAAAAATGGGACGACTGTTTGACTCAGATTATGATTTTTAATACGTAACAAAGCAATTGTGCAGTTCCACTCTCAATCTATTTATAAAAAAGTTGCAAAACCATTTATTAAATTGTATGTAACTAAATCAATTTATGATAAAAATTACAGATCTATTCTAAATTATAGCTGACCAAACGGCAAGACCAAATTTGCGGATTTTTTTTGAGAGAGAAACCATGAGTTCCCGGGGTTGAAAGAGGCTAACAAAATTTTAGAATTTTTTAAAATTCCACAGACAACGCCGTTTACTTCCGCTAAAATCATGATTTATTGCCAGGAGCGGGTAAACGGCATGAATAACTATAGACTTCTTTTATTATATTTTTCATATAAATAAGTTTTTTTTTAAAGCAGTTTATTATTCTCCTTGAAATTAAGATTGCTTTCCTTTTTATGTGGACATTTGAACTCTGATAGACACTCCACAAATTCACGGTCACATTCACAGAGCTATTAAAAGAATTAACTTTTATTTTTTTCTTCAAAATTTAGAAATGAGACTTTTTGATAAAAAAATTCAGACACAATATGTTACATTTTATATTAAACGTTTTTTCTTTGAGCTAGATTTATATGTTCTGAAGGAATTGAGTCTTTGCCACAAATTCAAATGTTCTTATCCATAGAGAATAGAATATATAAAGAGGAATTTAAAGAATCTCTCGGTATGATATATATCATTAATTATATCAATANGACAAATACCATTGATATTCAGGGTGTCACTGAAATAAATTTTGTTTAAGCTTTTTTGCCAACAAAGCGTCGTTTTATTTTGCTCTTAAACGACATTTAGCTTAAAAATAATTTTTTTGCATTTCCCTTTTTTCATCCCACCCTGTAAATATTTTACCTGATGACCACAACTAGCAGTATTTGTACTCTTTGTATGCCCGGCCACTTAAAAAAAATGTTTCTCCTGAGCCCGAAATTTAAAAGAGTATCGTTGAACGAAAGATTCGAGTTTCCTTTTTGGGGTCTTAGCATTTGTGTAGATTTTGAATTAAGAGCTTAGAAAAAATGGAGAATATAAAGATGCTTAATAAAATAATATTTCATAACAAAAATATTGATATCCACAAAATTCTGCCTAAACCCATCCGTGAAAACCGGGTTCCAAAACTGACTGGTTTTCATAACGATATCCTGTTTTAAGTTTTGGGCTCTGGTGCTACAGTAAGACTAATAAAACTGTGTTATATGAAGACGACATTTTATTTATAATCTTGTGGTATTTGATGTTGCTATAGCTAAACTTTTTACCAAGATAGAGTAAAAAAAAACTAATTAAGTGAAATGAATCTGTGTACACTGGATAATTGATGTGTTTCATATTCATTGGACTTTTTTAAATCATAATTTCAGAGTTTTAAAGGCCCCAGCCCCATCGGTTTTTTAATTCAACATAAATCTCAAAAAAAGTACAGTTACATATCATCTCACGGAGTTGGAAGAAAAACGTTACTTCATAAGCGTCGCTAAAAATGTTAATAAAAGACGATATATAACCCAAATAATCTCGCATATGATGATAATAACTATAAAAATTCTAATAAACGTCAAAAAGACATTAAATTAGCTCCAAAAAGTCTCTCATGCGTTGAATTAACCAAAAATAAAAGTCCAAAGAAAGAAAAATTTCAAAATTAAAACTTACTGCAGTATGGTGCACCACCATTGCAAGTCCACTTGTACGGTACAAAATAGGGCAGATTGTATTCTGAAAATCATTGTTTTAATTTATTTATTATTTTTCATTTATATTTTATTTATCTTATTGATTCGTATCAAAGAAAAAATAATTAAATATTAAATAATTTCCTCTCTAAAAATACTGATTTTTCACCTAAGTTGACGCATGTGGTTGTTGTATAGCACCAATCATGCATCTTACAACACCTTAATTAGATATTCGAATTTAAAACACATTAATTGATAACAAATTAAGGGGAATGATAATAGCTTTTTTATCGCCTAGATGTAGAGTGTAGGGTCGAGAAATGTTTTCAATTGGTCAAGGATAAGGTCAATTAAGCCAAACAAACATACAAACAAACAAACAAATAGTATATGCTACTTTACATATATATTAGCTTGGGAACCCAGCACGCCAAGGATATTAAAAGTTACTACCGCCTTTTACCCGCACTTGAACGATTTTACCGGGAAACTAAATTTTCTCTATTAAAATGGACCCACACAACTTAAAATTTCAAAAGCTAGCTATATATAAGAACATTCCCGTGGTCTACCAAGTTTTCCAATCAAAATTTTAGGCAAATTTTTAAAACTTGGTAGAACCACGGGAATGTTATTTGTTTGGTTTTGAAATGTTAGTTGAGTTAGTTTTCTCGGTAAAATCCTTTAATTGCGGGTAAATATACATATAAATATATATTTATAAGTAGCAAGCGACGGCCAGGCACTTCCGCTAGTATATAGATAAAGGTATACCTGTCTATTCCATCCACAACACCTCCAGATCCAAGGAACCCACAGTAACAACCGTAACCCTGAACAATTCTACATCAACAAATTTCTAGTAACGAGGTTATAGTATATAGAGTGATGATGTACGCTAATCCTTTACTTATTGTACAGGCCATGTACTTCACTCCCAAAGGTCAATCTGTATATTACAGTACTCGGGGGTGGTTTCTGAAAATATTTAAATGGAGAATTTGTTTTCAATGTAACTACTTTACAACTCCTTTATCGTATGCAGGATTTCCTTTTCACAAGAAGACGTACATTTACAGTCTTATACAGAGCAATATTTCATCGTTAATAAACTGTTCTGAGAAAACTGAGTAAAATTCAAGATACAAACCTCCCTTTACGCTTGTATTCCGAAAGCGTACTGGATAATTGATATTTGTACTGTATGAATAGGCCATAATCTCTTAATATCCTTTATCAATAAACCATCCCAATTGTGTACACTCAGGCTAATACACACGGAGAGGTAGCTAAGATCCAGCCCCCCTTGAAAGGGACTTATAACGGAATTTCAAGTGACCCTAATTTCCACAACCGAATTCTTGAAGCTTTGGTCCCAACTATCAATCTGGGTTCAATCACGTGCACGGTGACTATTCAAAACCAATAGAGATTGCAACGGCGGCGGCAGGATATATATATCTATCTATCTATTCATTCAAATTTTATAACTTAATTAGAGATCCACATGTAAATTAGCGACAAAGACAAACCGGAATTCTTTACTTACTTTAAAACTAGGGTGTCTGATCAATTATGAATTATATAATACTAGCCTTAGAGGGCGCTTCGCGCCCATCTTCTAGCGCCCTCTTCTAAATTAATTGTGAACATGTTCTCTTTGTGTACATCGTAAAAAAAAAAAAAATAATTCGCGGATTTTCACAAAAAATTTCGTGGATTTTCAAAATTTTCAAAAATTTAAGGAAGATCGAATTTTGATGGAGACAAATATTTAAAATTTCAATCATTCATAAACCTTCCCTGGGGCTCCGTGAGGTCTCACAAAAAAATTGGGCCCGATCGGTTGAGCCGTTTTGACGTTTATTGGATACAAACAAACAGACAGACAAGCCAAATCTATATATACTAGAAATTCAAGGCGCTTCGCGCCCTTCTTTCCAGGCTTTTAGGGCGCTTCGCGCCCATCTTCTATTTAAATTGTGAACATGTTCTTTTTGTTTACATTTCAAAACAAATTAAAATTTTTTTACAAAATTAAAAACCTCTAAAACACAAATTTTTAAAATTTCAATCATTCATAAACCTTCCCTGGAGTCCCTAGATGTCCCACAAAAAATTTGGGCCCGATCGGTTCAGCCGTTTTGACGTTTATTGGATACAAACAGACAGACAGACAAACAGACAAACAGACAAGCCAAATTTATATAAAGATAAAATATATTATTTTTCATTTTTGTAATGGAGTAAGTAAGAGAACAAGAAATTCTGTTGGTAACATATTAGAAATTTAAAACATTTTTGTTCTTCTCATTAGCCCTTCAAAATGAGGAGTTATAAATGAAAATTTTAGTTTGACGTAGACTGTCATGACTCTTGATTTCACAATTTTGGGTTAAATTCCCCTGATGCGATGACAATTAGTTTTCTGTTGTTCGATTTTTATCCTTATATCACGATTTTAAACATGACTCACGCGTTTAAAAGATTAAGAAAAGTATGTTTACATTTTTAAATAGTAATTTTCTTAGAAAAATGATTAAAAATTGAGAGCTCATCTCAATTATATTAACGCGCGTTAACAATTGATACTTTAGAAATCCCTTAACGGTCCCTGTCATGAACGATTATGTAATTTATTAACTTCGCAAGTTTAGCAAAACAATTTACTAGGGTCTATGTCATATTCTTTAGTTTCTAAACCTTTTCTTCATCACGGTTATTTTCGTTCATTAAACATTTTTAAATTAGCGGTTTTCGTTAATGGAATTTCCCGCCCATTTTAAAAACCGCCGTTCGTTAACGGAGCGTTGTCTATTTCTAATTTTTGGACCTTTTAAATTAGTGGATTTATTAAAAATCGTATAGCTGGATTAAAAATTGATAAAATTTAATTAATCATTTTCATGATATTTGATATTTTCTTATTTTGGTTTAGTTGTAAAATTTTTGTAAAAATAAGTTTGACCAAATTTACTATTTATGAAATCTTATACGACGAGCAACACATTTAAACCATTTTGATACATACATACCTTTTTCCAATTTTCAGAAATGCTTTTCAAATTTGATTATCATATAAATATCGCATTCATTCTTAATTATACAAAATTCTGAATCGTAATAAATAGAGGATGAATCGAAACAATGAATCCAGTCCTTCTGAACTGAAGATTTGTGAAGGAATTGAGTTGTTTCCACAAACTCTGATTTTCTATCCCCATATCTTTGCAACCCAATATCGTAGATATTTGGAAATATGAATTCTGTTGGATCAAATAGTCTAAGTTTGAAACATCAAAGGTTTACGCCATTAGGTTAGATATTCAGAATAGAACATTTGAATTTGTGGAAATGACTCAATTCCTTTAATTAAGTTAATTTTCAAATAATATCAAAATATTAAATTTACCTTAAACACTAGAGGATTGCAACCTGTCCCGCACTAAGAATATTAAATTTACCTTAAACACTAGAGGATTACAACCTGTCCCGCACTAAAAATATTAAATTTACCTTAAACACTAGAGGATTACCTGTCCCGCACTAAGAATATTAAATTTACCTTAAACACTAGAGGATTACAACCTGTCCCGCACTAAAAATATTAAATTTACCTTAAACACTAGAGGATTGCAACCTGTCCCGCACTAAAAATAAAAAATTTTATTTAATCAAAAATTTAGATTTTCCGATATGTAATATGAAATCTTTTATTATTATCAACTATATGAAGTTGATGTGTAAATCGTGTTGAGTGGAAATTACAAAATTTAAAAAAATAATATTTATTAGTCAAGATTAAACAGCATTTCTAAAACGCAAAATCAATTTAAGCGGAAAGATACACATTAAGATTATTCCAATTTTTATCAAAATTGCTGCCTTTGGAAATATCTATACATAATATATTGACTTAGTCAGATACACAGGCTTAATAGGTCGTACAGGGTCCTAATATACGGTGCACAAAATATATTATCAAGTACAATAGGTGGCAACAAAGAAATAGACCAATCAAACATGACGTCACAAGTGTCAAATATAAAAAGAAAAACTAAATTTTCTCACAATAGTTGACATGTGTTCCAAGATAAAATAAAAAAGTGTAAAAAAAGAAAATAAATAACACAAATTGCACTTATTTTACTGTAAGTTAAGCACTTAATTATTACTATTATTAAAAAAACTGAGGACACTTGTACAGCTATGTACTGAGAATGTACAAATTCTTTATTGGGATTTATTGTACTTGAAACTTGATATTCTATTAAAGGTGTCTCGTATGGCAAAAGAAGGTACACTGTTGGTAACCAGGGAACAAGAACAACACACAATTTGACAAATACCATTAAATCTACGTAATTCTTAGAAAATATGATTTTTCAAAATTTAATTTTTTTTTCTTCATGGGCAACACCGGGCAATTCAGCTTGTGTGATATGTAGCATAAGCAGTAAATAAATGCTCAGGATTTTAAATTATTCCACATACTAGGTTGCCCACAAAAATTTAGACTGTAAAGACGACTTGAAACTTTTCAAATTTTACGATCTAAAATATAAACTAAGTCTTCTTTCTTAAATTGATCTTTAAATTGCTTTTTTTTTGATTTGTCAATGAAAGAAAAAAGTTTTTAGTTGCGGGGAAAAAAGAAATAAAAATGTAAATTGTAAAAAAAGAAATAGTTGCGGGAAACATAAATTCCGTACAGTCGTCTCTTAAGTCTCAACCTTTGTGGATAACCCTGTACCTTGATCATATTGTAAAGATCTGAGGCAGCTCGTTTACTATTATTCCTCTGTCCTTCCTCCAACACCTCCGACCAGATTGGATCTTGGAGGCCGGGTCCAGGTTGTTCGAGGCCAGGACCAGGTTGTTGGAGGCTGGGTCCAGGTTGTTGGAGGCCGGGTCCAGGTTGTTGGAGGTCAGTCTCATTGTAAGAGTTCTCCTTGGACCTTTCAATGAACAGAGTAAAGAAAATAGAAAAAGAAAATATTTCAATTGTTATCAAAATATAAACTAATTAAAAATCGAAATAGTTTAACTTTAAGTTACGTTGACAGTCTATCTAAATTTATACTTTGACTCCTAATTAGAGATGTACTTTTAGTTCCTCCGTTTTTGGCTAGATTTTACCATATTTTAGTTCCTCCGTTTTTGGCTAGTTTTCACCATATTTTAGTTACTCCGTCTTTGGCTAGTTTTTTCACCATATTTTAGTTGCTCCGTTTTTGGCTAGTTTTTTCACCATATTTTAGTTACTCCGTCTTTGGCCAGTTTTTCACCATATTTTAGTTGCCCCGTTTTTGGCTAGTTTTTTTCATATTTTAGTTGCTCCTTTTTTGGCTAGTTTTTTCACCATATTTTAGTTGCTCCGTTTTTGGCTAGTTTTTTCACCATATTTTAGTTCTTTCGTTTTTTGGTTAGTTTTTTTTCACCATATTTTAGTTGCTCCGTTTTTGGTTAGTTTTTTTTTCACCATATTTTAGTTGCTCCGTTTTTGGCTATTTTTTTCATCACAATTTAGGTTCTCCATTTTTTGGCTAGTTTTTCACCAAATTTTATTTGCTCCATTTTTTTGGCTAGTTTTTTCACCATATTTTATAATTTAGTTGCTCGATTTTTGGCTAGTTTTTTTCACTATATTTTAGTTGCTCCGTTTTTGGTTAGTTTTTTTCACCATATTTTAGTTGCTCCATTTTTTGGCTAGTTTTTTTCACCATATTTTAGTTGCTCCATTTTTTGGCTAGTTTTTTCACCATATTTTAGTTGCCCCGTTTTTGGCTAGTTTTTTTCACCATATTTTAGTTGCACCATTTTTTGGCTAGTTTTTTCACCATATTTTAGTTGCTCCTAAACGATTAGCAACGCTACTCATAAATGATTTTTTTGGTGTCGATTGAAGGGGGAGGAGGGAGAATGCTGAAAAAAGATGTTACAAACCTAGTATTTGAGTATTGATTAGAGTTAGGATTGAAGCTGGAAGAAAAAGACGACTGTTTCCTAAAATCAGAAATATTAACGCAGTATTGACGCATTTATACTGAAACACAGGGATTCGAAGGTTGCAAGCTTACACTCAAAAATCGATGATAATTTTTCCAAAAAGTCTTAAAAACTAAAGCTTAAGACAAGCGCTTTAAAATTTATAAAATGTATATGTCTGGGGCAACAAAATAAAGTTGAAATGAATTAGTAAGATAAAGGCATTGAAACACTTCAAAGTCGAATTAGGCTTAAAAATTGCATCTTTTTATAGCAGTCTGAATCTATGTGGTAAAAAATCAAATGCCTGACTTTTTAAATGGGGGGGGGGGTCACTTGAAAATACGTCAACAGTCCCTTCAAATGTTTTTTCGTAAACAAATATATTTAAATAATGTTCATTAGCTCAATGTAACCATCAAACCAACATTAAAACGTTAACAATTCAGCGAATTACAAAAAGTAGAAGCTAAATATTAGGTAGGCGCGTAAAAACAGAAAACAAAATGTATAATACTTACAGATCCAGAAAACTCGGCTTTTCCTAAAAATATAACTTACATCAGTTCTTGTGTCATTTTAGAAAAAAACATTGCCAACAACTTTCTCGATAGAAGGCTATCCGTGTGATCATTCAAAGCATCGACAGTAGAGACATCTGGTGGTCAACTATCACGGCGTTTTAAGTGCATTGTATACAAAACGAATAAAAAAATATTAGGAAATATAAACTATATACAAATGCGTCGAAAAATAATCGATGACTATAGATTGTAATATCTAATGATTTATTTGAAATTAAATCGATTTGTTTACGATCCGAGTTGAATATGGCAACTTTCTGAATTTGTATGGACGCTACATTCGTAATATATACAGGTTTACCAATATGAGGTTTACTACAATATTTATTACATATCTATCTACAAGAATATTGGGTATGAATGAAGACCTATCTATCTACCTGATGAATGGGTATGAATGAAGACCTATCTATCTACCTGATGAATGGGTATGAATGAAGAATGTAGGGAGGGGGAGGGGGGGATAGGATTTACAAATTTTACCTGAATTGACTAGGGTGAGGAATAGAACTACCTTGAAGCAACCTTCACTCAATTAATCAATTAATCAAATGATCAATTACTCAATATATCAATTACTCAATTAATCAATTATCCAATTATTCAATTAATCAATTATTCAATTATTCAACTAATCAATTACTTAATTTATTAATTATTCAATTATTCAATTGTTCAATTATTTAATTATTTAATCATTCAATTAATCAATTAATCAACTATTCAATTAATCAATTATTCAATTAATCAATTAATCAATCAATCTATTATTCAATTAATCAATTAATCAATTAATCAATTAATCAATTATTCAATAAATCAATTAATCAATTAATCAATTATTCAATAAATCAATTAATCAATCAATCAACTAATCAATCAATCAATTATTCAATTAATCAATCAATCAAATATACAATTAACTGAAATATTTGTTAATTAACTAATTAGAGGTGTATTAATGAAACTGTGGAAAAGAAACACGACAGTTAAAAGCTACAGTTTTGATTAATCAATTAATCAATTAATCAATAATTCAATTATTCAATTAATCAATTAATCAATTAATCAATTATTCAATTATTCAATTAATAAATTATTCAATTAATCAATTATTCAATTATTCAATTAATCAATTAATCAATCAATCAATTAATCAATTAATCAATTATTCAATTAATCAATTAATCAGTTATTCAATTAATCAATTAATCAATTATTCAATTATTCAATTAATCAATTATTCAATTAATCAATTAATCAAATATACAATTAACTGAAATATCTGTTGATTCACTAATTACAGGTGTATTAATCAAACTGTGGAAAAGAAACACGACAGTTAAAAGCTACAGTTTTGATAAATCAATTAATCAATTAATCAATTAATCAATTAATCAATTATTCATTTATTCAATTAATCAATTAATCAAATATGCAATTAACTGAAATATCTGTTAATTAACTAATTAGAGGTGTATTAATCAAACTGTGGAAAAGAAACAAGACAGTTAAAAGCTACAGTTTTGATTAATCAATTAATCAATTAATAAATTTATGAATTAAACATTTCATAAATTATTCAATGAATCAATTAAAAGCAAGAGCTTCTTTCACTCATTTCTGAAAATATTCCAAATCCAGATTTTCTCATATTCGAAATTAATTTTAAGAAATAGATTGGATTGAATGGATGGAGGGACCAAACCAATCCAAGCAAATCAAAGAATGAATTTTTTAAAAGTTTGAAAATGATTTCCTTCATTGTTTAAACGACTTCTATGCAACCTTATCCGTATTCATTATTGTTGTAAAGTTACTGATTTGAAAATCAACTTTATGAGGGGAAATGGTCTGCGTACACTGCGCAAATGTTGTTTTTCATTGTGATATTTCTCTTCTTGTGTACAGAAAATTTTAATAAAATCCGCGAACTTTGCCAGAAAACATAGGTTTAATAGGGTTCATACAGTTTTTGATTTTCAAAAACTGGATCGATCCCTGTAAAATTTTACAAATATTTTGTTACACCTTTAGAGTGTTAACTTTTATGTCTCGTTTTCTGGAACACCTAGTTCTTTAAGAGTGGGACGTTTCAATATCCTTGATTTTTAAACTCTACCCGGCCCTGCATGACTTGACAAATATATAAATATATTTTATTCCTGCAACTTGACGCAAACACAACCTAACGGTGACGCATTTCTACGCAATTTTCTGCTTGAAAATATTTTATGCCACTCATAGGGCAAAAAAAAGAATGGATGAAAGAGAATTAAACAATAGGCTCTGTTATCTTTATACCAAACTTTTCTTTATCAAAAACTTTAGAAGAATGTCCGAAGAAAATCAGAAGTAAAGAAAAAAAAATTTCTGTCCACACTGCAAAGTCCTCCTTTTCGAAGGTTTTCTTTCTATTTTGTAGTTTTTAATGTTTTTTATGATTAATTTAGTTAGTTAATTAATTTCCTGGGAGGATACTTCTAGAATGTGTGTTCTCTTCTTGATCAAACAAAAGAAGGGTTTTTTTAAAGAACTTTTTTTAAAACTTAAGAAAAGTTTAAAAGTTTTTACGAAAAAGATATTCATCTTCTTTCAGAGCTAGAAACCTCTTGTATTGTGAAAATCGAGATCAAGACAGATTAAATTAATCTTTATTTAAAAATTAAGAGTGTCATCTGTCACATAGATTCAGCCCATTCTTATAAAAAGTCTCATCATTTTAAAGAAAGGGTTAACTTTGATGTGTCGCAACGCCTGGGCTTTGATTTTTATGCTCTAACTCATTTATACTTTTCTGTAGCCCTTTACATGTACATTTTAGCACTGTAAAGCACTTATTGTTAGCTTTGGTTTTTATGAAGTAATTGGCAAAATTATCATTGAATTTGGCTTGAGAGGTTGAGACCTTTAAATCACAGTGCTGTGGAAAACGACCAGTCAATTCAAAACAGGAATTTTTGCGTTCAAATGAGAAAAAAGAGAAATCAAGAGATCAAACAGATTCTGCGTAATTCAAAAGTGCTCACAGTGGATATTGAGATTAAGCGATCGAGATTATGGGTTTCCTACACAATAGCTCCCAACTCAGGTTAGAAACCTAAAACAAAGGATAAATATAGGTAAGTGTGAAGATAATTGTGAATTGAACATGTCACTTTAAAATTGAAGGTTTTATCAAATATATGTCTACAGTCCTTTTAAATATTCCTTGAGATCTGTTTTGTAGCGATAAACGTTTATACAGAACTTCTCTATACATTTCTTAACATATTCATATTCATATTTTAGCAATATGCAGAATATTCAGTTTTCAGCTTTATCATAAATTTAATTTTACATTTATCAACAAAATAACCAAGACCTACCAAAAGAAGAAGAAGAAGAAGAACAAGTAGAAGAAGAAGAAGAAGAAGAAGAAAAAGAAGAAGAAGAAGAAGAAGAAGAAGAAGAAGAAGAAGAAGAAGAAGAATAACAAGAACAAGAACAGAAGAAGAAAATGGAAGTAGGAATGAGAATAGAAGGCGGAATAAGGAAAGGAGGACGTGAAAGTCGGAAATTGAAAGGAGGGCGGAAGAAGAAAAGGATGGCGGAAGAAGGAAAGGAGAGCGGAAGAAGGAAAGGTGAGCGGAAGAAGGAAAGGAGAGCGGAAGAATAGAACGGATGGCGGAAGAAGAAAAAGATGACGGAAGATGAAAAAGGAATGACGTCAGAGAAAAAAGGTGGAAAGGAATGCAAGGAAAAAAGGAAAGTAAAGCGGAAGAACACTTGTCGTGTAAAGTGTAGGAGTATTAAATGAAGAAGGAAGCTGGAATAAAAGCGAAGTTAAATCTCAACTTTAAACATTTACATGTCCCAAGGGCATGATGCAATTTAGAGAAGAGTCGTAGATAAAAGTTGCAACAACCATTTGAATTTAAAATCTTTTGCATATTTTTCACGTTTTCATTTTCGCAAAGTATTTTATTGCCTAAATCGATGTTTTCTTTGTGCGAGCCATTTCGGAAAAAAGAAAGGGAGATTGTTAGAGGGGGGGGGGGTAGGTATTGGACAGGGAAATTGAGGGTATGTTGTATTGTGGTTGTCAGTCATATATGTTTAAAATATTATTATTTCACATAGAATGATGACATATGATTAAATAATCTGAATAAATTTGGCAAAAGATATAGGAAACAGACTGAACTACATTTGTAAAGTAAATACAGTTCTTTTTATAAAAAAATGATATCGAAAATATTTGAATAAAAAATGCAGTGATATTTCCCTTGGAGACATGACTACTACTGAACCCTAAACAGATATCCGTAAAAATCTAAAAAAAGAAAATTATAATTAAATTATGTTTGATATGTTCATCTTAAAAAAACTAGTTTCACATTTAACTTAATTTTCAATACCTGTACTCTCTGCTCCAAGCTTTCTGCTGCATGTCCTAATTTCACAGAATATTCATTTTTTTAATATTTAAAATTTGTTTGATACTTTAACAATTAAAATTTCCTTCCCAAAATTAAAATATGTTTTTCTATTTTATAACGAAGAGTATCATTTGTGTTCTAATTAACCATGAAGAAAAATGAGTGTCCCTGTAGACTGCAATAATAGAAAGATATTTCTATCTGTAGACTGCAATAATAAAAAGATATTTCTATCTGTAGACTGTAATAATAGAAAGATATTTCTATCTGTAAACTGTAATATAGAAAGATATCTTTATCTGTAGACTGTAATAATATAGAAAGATATCTCTATCTGTAGACTGTAATAATAAAAATATATCTGTATCTGTAGACTGCAATAATAAAAATATTTTCCTATCTGTAGACTGTAATAATAGAAATATATCTCTATCTGTAGACTGTATATAAGAAAGATATCTACATATGTAGACTGTAATAATAGAAAGCTATCTCTATATGTAGACTGTAATAATATAGAAATATATTTCTATCTGTAGACTGTAATAATAGAAAGATATCTCTATCTGTAGAATTTAATAATAGAAAGATATCTCTATCTGTATACTGTAATAATATAAAGATATCTCTATCTGTAGACTGCAATAATAGAAAGATATCTCTATCTGTAGACTGTAATAATAGAAAGATATCTCTATCTGTAAACTGTAATAATAGAAAGATATTTCTATCTGTAGACTGTAATAATAGTAAGATATCTCTATCTGTAGACTGTAATAATAAAAATATATCTGTATCTGTAGACCGTAATAATAGAAAGATATTTCTATCTGTAGACTGTAATAATATAGAAAGATATCTCTATATGTAGACTGTAATAATATAGAAAGATATCTCTATCTGTAGACTGTAATAATATAGAAAGATATCTCTATATGTAGACTCTGACAATATAGAAAGATATCTCTATCTGTAGACTTTAATATAGAAAGATATCTCTATCTGTAGACTGTAATATAGAAAGATATCTCTATCTGTTGTTGTAATAATAATAGAAAGATATCTCTATCTGTAGACTGTAATATAGAAAGATATCTCTATAAAAGAGAAAAGAAATGAAAATAATTTTATTAATATTTCTAAAAACAATTTCCTTCGTTTTCAGTTCAGTCTTACAATTACAATACAATATTTTGTATCATCGACAAAACTTATTTTTCTTTATAAAATGTTCCAGTCATCCCCCTTGACCCCCCCAAAAAAAAAATCTTTGTAGACTTGATCGACATTGAAGTGTCGCAACACCTTTGGTATTTGGTTTTACCTTTTAAACTCATAAAAATTATTTTTAGCCTTTCAAGTTTATATTTTGCTTCTTCCTTAAGTTTTAAAGAAGTAATTGGCAGTTTGGTCTGCAAACGGTTTATAATTGTTAATATTCTACCCCGGTACATTTATATTTTCGAGCACAATCCTCTTTAAAGTTATAAAGTGCTTCTGAAGAATGCTCTTTAATCCCTCTTCAAGCTTCCAAATATCTAAATATTGAATTTAGAAATAAATTTTTTTTAAGAAATAGATTCAAAATTTTAAATCCCAGAAATATTTGCAAAATAGATCTAAAAACTAAAAATTAATTGAGAATTTTAGTTCAGGAAAACTCAATCAATGATATACAGGGTTACCCAAAAAAGATGAGACTTCAGAGGACAATTGTCCAAAACTAATACTGTCTGTTTTCTTGCAAACATGGTTCCCTGCGGCGTGAACTTGTTTCTTTCTCTGGAAAAGAATGAAAAAATCAATTAAAAGAATATATTTCAGACAGAAAGGATGATAAACCTTGGGATCGTTATATTTTAAGTCGTCTCGTCTTTACAGTCAAATTCTTTGTGGGTAACTCTGAAGGATCTAGAATCTAGATACTTTCTTAAATTTAAAAAATAATATTATGATTAATGAACATTGATAATGATGTATGGCTGTATTTATAATTTCACGTGACCCTCTAATGCAACCTTCATCAGATCATTAACGTTGGATATATCGTCGATTTTTTAGCTGGAAAAGTTTCTACTTCTGACAAGGATTTGCATTGTTTCTGTAGAATAAATCCAAAATTCATTTTTACGATAACCCCAAATGGAAAATAATTAAGTTTCAAAATTAAAACTATGGATATCTTGTACACTGTACAGTTTTGATCATACAAAGTGTTAAAGGGTACCGTTGTGAAACGTCACCTATTTTTAATGGGAGTTCTCTTAAACGTCTACAATCCCTTTAATGAGATAAAAATAAAATTTGTATCATTTTTACTATTATGCAATATAATCCGGAAAACAAAATGCCGGAAACAATTTGCGTGATAATTACCATTTTTAAGCATCTTTATTGTTTTAAACTATCGCTGTAGGATGTCACAGAAAATTGAAAACACGGGAATAGTTAATGCCAAATATACTCTAGTACAATAGACGGCAACGTAGAATTTGCATACTCTTGCAGTACAGCTGTATTATTACGTCATAAGTGTACACTTTGTGTCCAACAAAATTATTAATAATAGTGATAATTTTAGAATAAAGTGCTTATATCTTACAGAAAAATGATTGCAACTTTATGTGTTCTTTATTTTCTGTTTTTACACTTTTTTATTTAATCTTGGATAACATGTCAACTAATGTGAGAAAATTTAGTTTTTCTTGTTATATTTGACACTTGTGACGTCGTGTATAATTGGTCCATTTCCTGTTGCCACCTATTGTACTTGATAATCTATTTGGTTAATGCTAAAATATGTGCCGCAACTTAAAAAAATGTTTTACATTTAAAAAATAAAAACTGATTTTTTTGACACCCTGTAAGATAATATTCCAATGTTTCCGTACACTATTGACGCAACACGGATACAACATTGGCGCATTTTTCACGCTGTCTGACTTCTATGCACCTTCTAAAGTTAAGAGGGGGAGGAGGGATGCACTGTGCAAAAATGCATTTTTATAAATACACAAGCTTGGAAACCCAGATTTGCCTGGCCACTAACTTTCCCTGTAAACGTCAACACACTTAATCTAGAAGGGGGTCATAAGTTCTGATTCAATATACAAACATCATGACAGACAAACTACCTAGCTTTGCCTGGAATGTACGTTTTTTTCTACAAAAGTCATTGTACTTAATTTAATACATTTTCCCCATGCACTAAGAACATTCCCGTGATTCTACCGAATTCTCCAATCAAAATTTGATGCAAATCAGTCAATGGGGTTCAAGAGTTATGATTGCACATACAAACAAAGATTACTACTTTATGCATATTGTATATATTGTAAATACATGACGTAATTTAAAAACGTACAGTACAATGAGAACAAGAAAAATTCTGGAATATGAAAGTCTCATTGTACATTCATTATGCCAAGGTACTAATGCAAGGAAAGTTATTTCAGAGGTGTACACATTTTTTGTACTGCAGCGTACTGTCTTTTGGGCGGAAAAGTTAACACAAGACGGATGACACAGCCTGACATACTGGTTTCAATATGTACGCAGAGTATACGCAACTGCAATTAACTTTCCTTGCATTAGTACCTTGCAGTACGCAATGTGCAAGTTTGATGTTAATAGAGAAAAAGTTTCACCAAAAGTCTTGAATTTAAAACAGATACTTAAGTTCTTTTTAGATTTAAGCCTTTGTAATTAAATAATATATCCAAGAGCAATAACATGGCAGGGTGTCCAAGATTTCTCTCAAATGTCACGTTTCGGGGGACACCATGTACATAAATTACTTCCTGTTTTACGTGCGCACTGTGCATGTGCGTAAATCATCAAGATCTAGATTTGTTTGATCCCTAACCTTATCATTAAATACTGAACCACAGAATTACTCAGCAAACAGAACAACTTAATATTCAAATTTTCGGGACCGATATTATTTCAAAAAAAAAAAAATTCCTGGAGCAAATAGGGAAAATGTAATTTTAACCATTGACAAACTCTGAAAAAATGATATAAACAAAAATTACTAAAAAAATCATAAACTTTAAAGCGTTGCTCCAAAAAATGTCAAATCCTTGAAATTCTAAAGTCGAGTTTGTTCAGTGATTAAACATCCTCTCGGGCAAAGGTTTTGACTCGAGCAGGAAGCTATTTTAATATTGATGACATGGCAATTTCGTAATGGTAAGGGGTTATCAACTTAAGTTCAAAGGAGCATCCATATCCTTTGTGCCACTCTGCAAACTATACAGGAGGAGGAGGAGACTTTGTGACCTCGTAGCTCCTCTTGTTTTCATTTTAAGCATAAGTATGAGACAAGCAAATTTATCCGGTATCTAACATATCAAAATTTTAAACATTTTTGTTTTTTTTTCTCAATAGCTCTTCAATTAAAATAGTTATGATAAAAGTACGTATATCAGATTTCAATCCTGCGTGCAATTAGGTCCTTATATTATTTACAAATTGGACATTCTAACAGTTTGACCATTATTACCACATTGTATGCAATATACAATATAAATTCATACTGCTTGTTTCCAGGGCAATAACTGGGTATCACTGTGGGGGTGAGACTAGTGAACAGTTTGACCATTATTACCACATTGTATGCAATATACAATATAAATTCATACTGCATGTTTTCAGGGCCAGAACTGGGTATCACTGTAGGGGTGAGACTAGTGCATTCGAACAGTTTGACCATTCTTACCACATTGTATGCAATATACAATATAAATTCATACTGCTTGTTTTCAGGGCAATAACTGGGTATCACTGTAGGGGTGAGACTAGTGCATTGCGATTTAAAGCTTGAAAGCTCTGAAGCAAATATTGATGAGAATTCTGCCCATTACCTCATAAAAACCAAAGCTAACAACAAGTGTTTTATTGAGCTGAATTGTACATGTAAAGGGCTACAGAAAAGCATTAATGAGTTAGAGCGGTAAAATCATAGCCCAAGGTGTTGCAACACTTTAAGTCGACCCTGTCTTAATATTGATGACACTTGTTATTAGCAGCCTAAATCAATGTGAGCCAACAAGACCCCCCGTGGAAGGGGCAAACCCTGCATAGAACATTTTTATTGTTTTAGGATTAAACTAGATATTTTAGCTTGAATGAAATCTATTTGATGAAATCTATAGCTTTCATAGAAACTTTGCATATAAGTTTATTATTAAAACTGGTCATCCTTGCTTGATTTGTTTGCTAGTAATCTACAAAATATTCTCTTAGAACAATCTTTCTGACTTCATAATCATTGCATTATCTTTAAAAATTAATCTGTTATAGATTGGAGAATTTTTGGTAAACTTTGACATTTTAGCCTACGTTCTCTGGTATTACAACACCCCCCCCCCCCACATGTGCACTGTGCACTGTGCAAATGTTAAAGGGGTTTGCAAGCAAAATTTATTTAGACATATGCTTGGCGTTTGTAAGTTTTATGATCATTGGAATATCTAAAATCATAATAACACACCCCAGTCTAAAAGTGTCATGATCCGTGCCGGTACAACACGTACTGTACAGTGTACATATATGCGTTCAGTCGTACTGTCCAGTCTTGACTACCTAGTGTAGGGTCGACCCAACACGTTTTATGCAACAAATGTAGCCTGGCAAGATCTAAGTGAACAGTCGTCTTTATATTTCAGAGTTTCAATGTACATTGTACAATCACTACATATTTTGTAAGACATACAAATTTTGTATTTTAAATATTTAATTTAAACATAATAGGGATAAAAGGATATAAACTATTTAATTTTATTCAAAACCCAAGATGTCTGTCTATTTATTATGTTTGTGCAGGAAACTATACGGTAGAATGCGCTTGCATATTGCACAATAACTTTTAATTTATATTCTTTTCACAAAAAAATTAAATGTCAGAGTTTTGTTGACTTGCAGAACAAAGAAATAAAAACTTAACAATAAAGAGCCATTAGAATATTTTTAAATGTCCTACACACTCTTATATTTCTATTGTTAGAAAACATAAAGTGGAATAGAACCAAAATAATGTGGAATTCTTATCTGTCTCGTCTTCCGCATTAGTAACTGTCTAGAAGGGTCTTATTTATTTGGTGTACTGTCCCTGTTTGCCTCTACAGTTTATATTTGTACTGTACTACTTGTTTCAAAATCAGCCCGGTACTTGAAATGAACCGGAGTAATTGGCAACTGAACTTTTAAAATAAATGTGTCATGAACAAGTTCAGTGTTATATCAGTTGGATCATGCAACGATTTAAGCCGTGTGTCACAGTTTTTTAGTGCTCACTGTTTATCATCACATTGTAATATATTTTACTGCATCATACGAGGTTATCCAAAAACGATGAGACTGTAAAGACGACTTTTAACTCTTTAAATATGCCAATTCTAAAATAAAAGGGAATCATGAATAAAAGAAAACAAACCGTATATATTCCGTACAGTCGTCTTTAAACCGTATATATTCCGTACAGTCGTCTTTAAACCGTATATATTCCGTACAGTCGTCTTTAACGTCTCAACCTTTGTGTATGACCCTGTTGTATCAATTGTAAAATAAATATCTGGAATGCTACCGGCCATGGTCCGGTTTAAATTTATAGAACGTAATTTTGCAGGTCGCTGCAAATGCAATACTTCATTGGAAGAAGGTTTTTGCAAATTTTTGCATTGAATTTATGTTACGAACACAACTAATATGAAATAGCACAAACATATCAATGTAGATTTTAAATGATTAAATGTCGTAATAATTTTTTTGATTCAGTTTCAAAGTTATTTTTGCAAGTTTTTTAGTGTTTACATAAAACATATTTTTTTTAGACAATTCTATGAAAATTTTAAAAAATGTAGTGCATTAATGTATTTTAATTGAAAAAAAATAAAAATTATCTATGTCTTAAATGAATACATATTGTATGAAAATTTAATAGGAAGACGACATTTGAGAATAAATAACATTTTTGCGCTTCCCTCCTTTTAATACTTTAAAGTTGCTTTTTATGTTTATCATTGTGTTAAGATGGTTTAACCTTATAGAGGAAAAATACTAATTCATCATGCTGGGGGGTCACTGCCCGTTTAAAAACATGAAAAGTCCGTAAAGGAATCCAAAGAATTGATTTGAACTGAGACAAATATATTTTTCTAGGATTGTTATAAATGGATTTTAGTTATCATAAACATTATACATAAAATACTTTACGTAAAACAAAACAAAACGAATAAAAAAAATATTATGAAATTTTAACTATATACGATTGCGTCGAAAAATAATCGATGACTCTAGGTTTGTAATATCTGAATGATTTGTTCAAAATTGAAAATGATCTTTTTACGATTATAGTCGTATATTGAAACTTTTTGAATTTGTATGAACGTAGATTCTTCAGTATAAGTCGTTTTTTACAATTTTCTCCTTATAGGCTCAACATATAGAATTAGATTAGTAGCGATCAAAAGCTATTATTTTTCGCCGTAAGCCTATACCCCCTTTCAATCATTAATTTGTCCCAAAATTGATATTTCTACCTTTCATGTCATTTTCTCCGTAATTGTAGAATTAAAAATTTAGCTTTTGATCAAAAATTAGAAATTTTGTAATTAAACCTGAATATTTTCCTTGTATAACTATAGGTTTAGGTCTAGTATTCACACTGATCTGGTTATCCTGTGACTACTGACTACTGACTACTAACTATTGACTACCGTAGAGGTCTCCGTACGCGCACTGTATCCCGGCTACATGAACTTACACCTCTGTGCACGCGCACTGATTCCACGCGCACAACTTCACAGAATTTTATTTGATCTCTTGCAATCTTGTAGAGTTCATTTTGTAAGGGTACAGCTGTATATTTTGCATAGGGGGATACTGTGAATTTTGCTTATGGGGATACTGTGTATTTTGCATAGGGGGATACTGTGAATTTTGCTTATGGGGATACTGTGTATTTTGCATAGGGGGATACTGTGAATTTTGCTTATGGGGATACTGTGTATTTTGCATAGGGGGATA